AGTGCGCAAGAGCGAGGCTGCCCAACCGCGCCGCGCCGCCGCCGCCGGGCCGGCCCCGGAGGAGGTCCTGGGCCGGCCACGAGGAGCGCGGCGCCGCCCCTCGGGGAGGCCGGGCGGCCGCCGGGCTCGGGGCCGCTTGCGGAGGGAGCCAGCCAGCCAGCCAGCCAGCCAGCCAGCCAGCCAGCGGGGGGGGGGGGGGGGGTGCGATCCCGCCCCCGCGGCCGCGCGGGGATGCGGGAGCCGCGGGACGCGTCGGCACAGGCGGCTGGGGATGCTGGGCGCCGCGGGCCCCCCCCCCTGCGCCGGCCGGCAAAGGCTCTTCCGCCCCGCGACCGGGCGCCCCTCGCCCCGCCACAGCTGCCGCGCGGCCCGGAGAGTGTCCTGGACTCCCCCCCATTCCGCTTCTCGGGGCGACCCCACGGAGTTCAAGCGTTAGGAGGGGGGGAACACCCCCCACGCCCCGCTTTCCCCACACCGAGTAATTCCCCACAGCTCCACCAGGTCTCCCCTACCTGCCCTTTGCCTAAGCGCAACAGCCCCACGGCGACGCTTTCCTCCGGCCGCACTGGGGTGGCCGCTTTCCAGTTTTCAGACCCTGCAGTGCCCCCTTTCCTGAGGAGTGGGGCTCAGAAGCAGGGTCAACACGGCTGCCTTTCAGCTGTGTGGACGGTCGCTGATTCGGCCATGTTACCTTGTTAGTCCTGGAAGGGACCCGGGGTGCAAAGATGCCCTCCCCTCCACATGGTCCGCATCTTTCGCCCCACTTCCCCGCGCAGCTTCCCTCGCCCAGTAACCGCGTCAAAACCCGGCGATCCCTCTTCCTGCTCCCTCCTTGACCCTGCAGAGCCGCTTCGGGACACATCTGGGGGAAAGGGAGGCGGCCCAACCGTAAAAAAAGCAAAACGGGATGAAAATGCAGGTTTTATTACGCCCGCAGCAAAAAGGCAGGGTGCTTGTGCTGCCCAACGGCTGCCTCCGAGGCGGGACGGGGGCCAGCCCTCCCGCGGGAGCAAGGGGGCCAGTTGGGACCCTTCTTGGGAGCAGAGAGGACGGGCTTCGCGCAGGTGGGAGCAGCCCCTTGCCGGACCCCGGGGAGCCTCCGAGCCAAGGCACAGCTGCAGAGCTGGGGGTGCCGTGCAGTGTCCCCCGCCTCCCGGGCACCCCGGGCACAGGCCCTGGCCTGGTGCAGCGCTGGGGGGCGGCTCCCGAGGAGAGGCTGCCCCACGGCAGGGGGGGGAGGCGGGCCTGGGATCCTGCCCGCCAGGAAGGCGGAGGATGCCCCTTGTTCGTTCATTTTTCGATTTATACCCTGCCTTCTTCCTTCCCGGCTCCTCAGCGAGGGCTGCGAGGGGCGCCCAGGCGAGGGATGCCCTGCCGCCTAGCGACGGAAGGGGGAGTTGCAGGCTCCGCAGACGGAGCCGCGGTTTAATTAATTAAGGGCAAGGACTGCGTTGAGAAACGCCAGCGCGCCCCCAGAGGGGACCCCCGTTTCGGGCGTGCGCATTTCATGGCCTTTGCGCCATGGTGTTGGCGCTCAGTTTTTATTAAATAGTTTGCATGCGGCTATAAAGGAATGGTCCATCCCAGCCTTCCCCGGCCAGTGCCCTGCAGCTGTTTTGGACTTCGGCGCCCATCAGCCTGAGCTAGCCAAGCCAATGGCCAGGAATGTTGGGAGGTACAGTCAAAAGAGTCTGGAGGGGAAGGTGTATGTATGCTCCAAAGCGCACCTTGGCAAAGTGGCGGGTAGGCAGCCAAACCGAGGAGGACCGTGGGCGCCTCTTGCTTTGGGAACCTGAGTGATGGTCTTCCGTTGACGCAAGGCCTCCGTTCGGGACCCTGCTGTGAAAGGAAAGCTGGCAGGGATCTGGTGGGCTTCCCTTCTCACTCCAATAAGATGACAAAAGGGAGGACTGGAGACGAGGCGAGCAAATTCGCGCTTCGGCTAAACGGGCAGCTCAGGGTGCCTCGGCTATGCAAATCTTTTTGGCAGGCACACCCGGAAACGTGCCCCGGCCCTGCACTACTCCCAGCATTTAGAAAGAGGCAAAACTTCACCCTCACCCACTTCCCTTTTACCAAATGTACCCTCTGAGAAAAATACCAGTGTCTAGCCGACTTTCTTTAAGAATAAGCGTGTGTTCAGTTTCAGTTCTAGCCATCTTGTGGCCCAAGAAGTATTTGCAATTCGAGAAGGAAATACATTTCTGGTTTCACACACACCTCTGCACACTCTGCCTGGCACTTCCCCGCCTCACCTACCGCCTTCGTTTTGCAAAGCGCTGACACTCTGCTCTGTTTCCCGATCATGTTTGCTATCATCGTGTAGGAAGAAAAGGAAAGCGGGACTTCCACGGCCACAAGCCAAGTCCCAGTTATTTTGGAGAAGTGCATCCACTAAGAGGCAGTGTCCAATGATGGCCAAACTGGTCGAAATAAATGTTTTTAAAATCCCTTGCCCTTGGGTCACTTCCTTTGGGCTCTCAAGGTGGCCCTTCACCCTGAAAGACGCCCCTGCCGTCCTGGGAAAACGCAGCAAGCAGCATCAGGCTGGCTGGATCAGGCCAAGGTCTGTCCAGGCCAGGAGTGCAACTCCCCACCCCATGTTCCCCGGCAGCTGCTGTCCGTGGGCACGTGGCCTGTGATGCTAAAGGCCGCAACGCAGCACCGGGACAAACGGCTGCGACCAGCCCTCTGCACATCGGTCCAAGCTCCCTCCGAGGCCCCCCACCACTCAGGTTGCGATAGCCTGGTGGAACGGCACCTTCCGCCTGCCCAAGCCAGCGGTGAGGCTGAGTTTGCTCGCTTGCTCGCTTGAAGCTTTTCTACCTGGTTTGTTTAGCCGAAGGAGCAGGGGCAACGGACGGCCCTCGCTGCGGCTCTGGCCACATCCCGAGGCTACTGCCAGGGCTCCTACCCAGCCATGCCGGCCCCGGGCGCCAGCCCTGCCCGGAGGGTCACTCCATCCCCACAGAGCTCCAAGGGAACCCAAGCCGGGGTGAAGGAGAATGCCGGAGAAGCAGGCGGAAGTTCGGTTGTGCCGTTGCAGGGTGTCCCCTGGGCGGAAGGACGGAACGGCCTGCGGTCGATGCGCTTCCCCCTGGCCTTGAAAAGGAGCTGGTGGCAAGCAGTGGGCAGCCGCCTCCCTGCACGCCCCCCGCCCCCATCGGCATTAACCCACGCTAGCCCAGCGCGTCTCCGCGCTCACGAATGTCGCAGCCTCCGCTGTAGGACAGCCCTGCCAATGGCACAGTCCCGTTGCTTGGCCAGAGAGCGAGGAAGATGCACCCTCGCGTACCCCGTGGGCCTCGGACTGGGAAAGGGCGATGGCCAGTGCGGCTAAAGGACTGGCTGGGGCTGGGGATGCTGCGCTGTCGAATCCCGGGCGGCTGGCTGGGTCAACGAGGGATCCAGTCCAGCGCATCTGGAGAGCACGGCGTTGGGGCGCCTCTTCCAGGGAGGTGGATCGGGAGAAGGAGCGCCCCCGCCCCGTGAAGTGCAGCTCCCGCGTCCCGGCGGCACTTCTCTCGCGGGGATGCCCCTGAACATGTGGCGAGGGCGTGCCTTTCCCAAGCCCCTGACGAGACCCAGAGCCGCGGAGCGGAGGGGGAGTTTCCAGATGAGCACGGCCTGGAGTGGCACGGGGGCAGCGGGTTTCTCATGCCGGCGGGGAGGGGGCACCCCTGCAGGGGCGCCGTGGCATTTCCTGGAGAGGATGAGCAGAGCCCAGGCGGATCAGGAACGCAAGCAGATGTCCTGGGCTGATAAGCAAAGCAGAAGGAATGCGAAGGCGCGGAGATGAGGGGCTGCTGGGGAGGATGCCGGAAGCTTCCACTGCGGCAATTTCTTGGCATCCTCTCCGGCCCGAACGGAGGCGGCGGGGTGGGGGGATGCCTCATGGCTGGGGGGGCTCTGTGCTCGGAGGGTTGGAGGGTGGTGGGCAGCTCGAGCTCAGCCCAAGCAACTGCCCTGGCTGTTTGACCCACAGTGGGGGCCGCTCCGGCCGACCCACAGGCCAGACCGGAGGTTCTGAAATACGGCGCACCTGGCCGGCTCCTTTTCTGATCTTGGGTGAGCCCAGGGTGCTGGATGCTGCAAGGGGCGATTAAAAACATTCTGCATATTTGATGCCTCCCCGTTCCACCTCGTGGTGGTTGTAGTCACCCTGTTCCTGAATTAAATGCAGATTATTTGAAATTTGTGTCTACACAGGGCTTCCTGGTGGGGGGGTGGGGGGGAGAACAGCAGGGGTGGCTGCTTTTTCCGCCAGTGGAGGAAGAAGAGATAAAAAAGGAGATTTCGTTCATATTTATGGAACATGCTCCCGGCTCTGGGGAAGGCAAACCCTCGCGGCAGTTCTTGGCCTGGGTTTTAGAGCTTCCCAGCCCGGCGGGTGCAAGAGGAAGTCTCGGGACAGAGGTCGGGCATGAGCAGAGACGGTCATTTCCCATGGCGAGAAAATATTTTAAATATGCTGGAGCGGTCATCTCCTGCCTGTGCGCACACGTCACGCTCGGCTCGGCGCACCATCGCCTCGCACCGGAGGGGTTCCCACAGCACGACAACCCAGCCACAACCCATGGCTCAGCGGTGCCGCCTGAACCTACCCTGGTGCGACCGGCAGCCCCGTTCCGGCGACCTCTGCCTCCGCTCACTCACAGTGCTGATACCCACAGCCTGGAGACCCCGACCCTGAAATCGCAGAGCCGGAAAGGGGCTTGGCGCTCACCGAGACCGGCCCCGTTCCGTGCAGGCTCGGCACTCCCGAATGCAAATTCGGCATCCCTGGCAGACAGGTGCTCGGCCTTTGCTTGGAGAGCGACAGAGGAGCCACCACCCGCGAGGCCATGTCTGCCCCACCACCAAACGCCTCGAGGCG